TGGCGTAATGTGGCGTAATGCGGCGCAATATGACTTAATGTGGCGTAATGAGGCGCAATGTGGTGTAGTCTGGCGTATTGTGGCGCAGTGTGGCGTAGTGTGGCGAAGTGACGCACCTTGAACTTCATGGAGGAGAGCTGGTAGAGCACGTTGCCCATGGCGTCGCGGATGACGTTCCACGTGACCTTGTTGTCGGACTGCGCGGTGGACTCGACGGCGTGCCGCGACATGTCGTAGAACGCTATCATGTTCTTGAGCATGCCCACCGTCTTGTAGAACGGACAGAAGCGGTCGTACGCCGAGTAACTGAACACAACAACATTCATCAGCTCATTACATCCCAACAAAGCTAAAAATCTGACCAGGTGACCATACTGGCTCATTGCGGGTTGATTTACTTTTTAAATTTTTTACCAGATATGTACAGGAATCCCAATATTTTCCTGTACTGTAAGTATCCAAAAATTCGGTATATCATAGGATTCGAACCTAAAACCTTAACCAAGTAATTTAATCTTAAGGCAAGTAAAAGGACGCGGCAGTACGGGGCCTGTTTTATTATAACCGGCGCCCTGTAATCACGACGTGTACCTGTTCTGCTGCAGGAAGTCATCCTTGAGCAGCTTGGCGACCTCGAGGGTGATCTTGTCGGTCTCCGCGAGCGACGCCTTGCCCACCAGCTGCACGATCTCCGTCAGGTCCTCCTCCTCCTGCAGGATCTCCTTCACCTGCACACACACACACACACATTCAAAACTCCGCCTAATAAGTGGTAAAAAGGGAAGATTTTAAATTTTGTATTTTCGTATGTATTGATATAACTCAAAAACTACTGGATCAATGTCAAAAATTCTTTCACCCTTAAAAAGCTACAATATCAAAAAGTAATATAGGCTATATTTTTTAATTGAACGTAGGCGAAGTCGCGAGCAACGGCTAATATATGATATAAGCATACCTTAGTCCTGAGCGGTACGAACTCGGGGTAGTTCTTCTCGTAGAAGTCATCCAGCGCGCGCATGTACTTGCTGCAAAGATATTTCATTTATTTAAACTATTCCCGTTTAGTTTGATTAAACTTTTTATTGCTAATGACAGAATTCAAATTCTCAAATAACTATAAAGGTTTGCTATTGGCTAAGAATTTAAGTTACCATGGCAACTTTAATTCTCTGCTGTTTTTGGCTTGTAGTTTTTATACCATTCTCGCAGATAGTTTTTTCCAATTTACTCGCTTATTAATTTTAATATCGTGAAAATATATAGCCTAAAGCGTATCGTAAATGTGGGGCTTTTTATCAAAAGGAGAGTAATTCATAAATAATCTGTGATTGCTAACATCTTAGATAACAAAGAAATGTGTTTTCGCTTTGTT